CAGTATTCTTATGTAACCTAGACTCTAAATTCTTTGACATTAAGAAATATGTTTTTGTGCGATTGGCAACCAATGTCACAAAACAATATGTGTATTAATTGTTTAATCAGAAATTAATTTGCTCTGTAAACCTTCATCTAAAGCACAATAAAAACAGAGAGAAATGTGTTTTATTTACTCTATGTAGGTTAAATAAATGAAAAGTGTTTATTCTAAAGATAGCGACCACTTGGTTACTATCTTCACTGAAGATAAAACAAGAGAATTTAAACTCCAATCTTTAGCTATTAGGAAACACGGTTATATAGTAGAATGAGTTATTTGGATAATATTGTGGATTATTTTCTGTGGCTTTTTTTTTTTTTTTTTTTTAATGAGGACAAGTGTTTATTTCTCTAAGATGGTTTAGGAATTGTTCTGTTTGGATTTGTGCTGCTAGGTCAAAATTAATTTCCTGTTGGATCAAGAACCATTTTTCTGCTAGATCAAAATAAATTTCACCAGAGAAATGATGCGTATTGAAGCAGCCCAAGGAAATGCATTATTAATGCAAAAGATGCAGAAAGGTTAAAGGAGAAACATCAGATTCAATTTTAATTATGGTTTCTGCTTGCCTGGTATGCGTTTCTTTTTTGGACTTAAAGGTTTTATTTTAGGCTTAATGCTAATTGTCAGGGCTTAACTAGAACAGCCGAAAAAGTTGACCTTATAATATTGATATTCCTATTTTTATCAGAGAAGAACTGTAGTATAAGTCAAGATGTTAACTGGAAACCATGAACTGCATTTCACAGAAAGGCAGTTTAAAACTTAAAATCTCAGCTAACTGGTAGGGCAAATGACATAGCAAGTTGTTAATTTGGTGCTTCAGAGTGGCAAAATTATGTATTTTGCAGAAATGGGTTGAATATAATTCAATGGTGCTCTAGAATGCAGACAAGTCATGTTCAGGTGGCAAAAGAGCTGTGGTTCACAGCTGTTGAAACAGGTTTGTCTGGAACCCAATTCTCCTATGGTTTCTGAACCCACTCTGGAATCCACGTCCCACAAAGTGTAGACAGCGTGTACCCATCCTTTGCCTTTTAACTCTTCACAGGACAATTAACCCATTCTACGTATACCAGATTAGGTATCAATTCAGCATTTTCTGCAATAAAGTATAATACTATAGAGAAGAAATGGGCTATTTTCCCTAAAAAGTGAGTATCCCTTTACTGAAAATGTTCAAGCACATTTGTGTCTGTTTTATTCAACACTGTATCCCTAGAGACCTAAACAGTACCTAAAAAAACCCAAAATCAAACTTGTTGTTGGTGAATCCATTCCGACTTACAGCGACCCTACAGGACACAGTAGAACTGCCCCACAGGGTTTCCAAGGAGCGGCTGGTGGATTTGAACTGTTGACGTTTAGGTTAGCAGCCTGAACTGTTAACCACTGCACCACCACATAGTAAATACCCAGTAAATATTTCTTGTGTGAATGAATAAAGCACAAAATGGATGAGGTTTCAATTAGCTTGTGCTGTTTAACAAAGCACCCCAAGAGGCAGTGGTTTAAAACAACAATGATTCATCATTTTTTATGATTCTGTGGGTTGGCTGGATGTCTGAGATGGCCTCACTCTCATTTCTGTGACATGAGCTGCATGGCTCAGATGGCGAGGCTTCTCTGATCACATGGTTTCCATCTTCCATAATGAATGCTCTTAGCTGCTGTCGAGTCACCTCTGACTCATGGTGACCCTAGGCACAAGGGAATGAAGCGTTGCCCAGTCCTGCATCATCCCCATGATTGACTGTGGATCGTACTGATGTGATCCATAAGGTTTTCACTGGCTGATTTTCAGGAGTAGACCACCAGGCCTTTCTTCCCAGTCCATCTTGGGCTGGAAGCTCCCTAAAACCTGTTCAGCATCATAGCAACCAGGATAAATAGCCTAGGACCTCAGCATTCCAAGAGGGCAAAAGACGAAGCTGCAACACCCCTGGTATTTAGGCCTGGAACTTAGTTCCAGGACATTCTATCGGTCAAGTAAGTCATCAGCACTCCACCTCTTGAAGGGATTTGCTGCAAAGAGTATGTGGCCATTTTTAACCTACCACAGACGACTGACTTTTAAAACTTTCTGTAGGGAATTCTTGTAATGGAGGTAGGTAGGTCAAGCTGACCTCTCAGAGTCCTTCCACCTCTGAGATTCTATGATTGTACCGTGCTCAACGGATCTCACGTAGTGTTCTAAAAGAGAACAGTGCCTAAGAAGCGGATATCTGGAAACTTTCATCCTCTATTTCTGGTAAGATAATTTCAAAGATAATTCACTAAATAATTATTCTCAAACTATTATGATTTAGAATTTGCATTTTTTCCTCAAGCATTCCAAGTGTTCACCAGAATTTTGTTAGTGAGAGCAATCTTTGCATCTAGTTACAGTAAGCTGTAACTAACTTTACTTACAACTCTGGTATAGCAGCACCGTTCTCCTTCCTTTATGCTTTGTTGACCATTCTATGAACACTGGGTAAATGCCTTACTCTTCTTCATGCATCAAATATTAATTTTTAGACGTCACTGAGATCAATAACATAAAATTCTTACTTTTATTCTCCATCAGAGGAGAGTGCTTATACTATTGCCTCAGAATTGACCTCTATTTACTATTAAAGTTGCCACTCTGCCACTTTTCTGTAATATATACTCATTCCTTCTTTTATCAAACTTTTAATAAACTAAGAATATTCCTTTGAGACTATTTGAGTAGTAGCAGGTACAGAGACGTATGAATACAGAAATATCTCATAAGACACTTACAGATGATATGTGAAAACCCCGTGTAGCTTCCCATTAAGGTATCTCAAAACAGCCACAGTAGGAAAAACAGTGTGGGGAAGGCTGAATGGCCGACCACTGTGACTTAATAGCAGAAGTTCCTACTGTAAACAGTTTGTGAGTGTATGTTTGTATACGTATGCCATTAGTTGAAAATCGTGTACATTTTAGGTAATTTTTGACAAGTACTTGAAACATGTCCATTTTCGTCATCATTGTAGGAATCAGTTTTAAGTTGGCCTTAGCTTGTCAGCAAAGTAAGCCAGTAGAAGATTTGAAGAGAGGTTTTAAGTTGAAGACAGAACATTTGTTAACCACTATCACCCCCAGAATTCTACATAAACGCTTTTCTGTTCCTATTCTTTCCAAAAATCCAAACCTAAACAAACCCCAAACAACTCACGGCCATTTCGTAAATGAAGCCAGTTTATCTTTGTGGAATTAACATGCTAGATCTTGAATATATTGTTGATAATTAACCCAATCAGGTAACATTGCCAGGAAATCTTGTTCTACCTTTCTTTTTTAATTCCCAAATGAAGCCTAGGGTGATATTAATTAGTTAGAGCTAACAATTTGCTTAAATAACCCGTGATTCCCAGTAGCAATTAAAATTTCCTAGTCATTAATCTAGACTACCACTGTCCAATAGAAATGTTTTGTGATCCATATATATGTTTACAAGTTTCTATAGTCATGTTAAAAAGGTAAAATGAAACAAGTGAGATTAATTTAATAGTATGTTTTACTTATCCCCACATATCCAAAGTATGTTCAATTTCAACCAATATAAAAAAAAAAAATACTTCACTTTTTTTTGGGAGGTGGGTGGGTACTAGCTCTTTGAAATCTGGCGTACATTTACACTGACAGCACATTTCAAGTGCCCTGAGCCACAAGTAACCAGTGGCTACAGCATTGGACAGCGCAGGTCTAGACTGAGCAGCCTGAAAGCAGGTTATCCGTGTCTCTCCAGGGCTTCGCAGAGTAGGCATTGCAGAGAATGTTTTTGAAAGGTACATCAGGAAGATTAAAGGGTTCCATAAACCTCTGGCTTCTGATTCTTTTATGTTCTGCAACCACGTTCTTTAAACTTTCCAGTTTGGGGGAAAGTGGAATGAGGAGCATGCTCATTCTGGCACATCGAACTAATGAGTATCGGGCTTCCTGACTCCCAGAAAGCCTGAGTCATCTGAGATGTTGACGGATGAGCCCAAGGTGACTGAGAATGCAACCCAATTTCCAAGGCATCTTTGTTTGCACTTCCTCTCTTCCCTCTCTCTCGGTCTTTCTCTGGGTGACTCATCCATCCACCATGTGAAAGTCCAGCAACGGTGCCCAAAACACGCCCGGAAGGAGATGAGCGGACCTTCACACGATCAACCCCAGATCCCCAGATCCTCTTTTGAGCTGTTTTGCCTACGTCACTCCAGGGGCTGCAGTGTAGACGGCGAGTGACCTTAACTGTCAAAACAAAATTTTTAGGGGGTGGTGGTGGTAGTAGTAGTAATGAGGTGGTTTGGGAATGTTAAGTTTGAGAAAAGGTAACCTTTTATTTCAAATTCTTCTACAGTTTAATGTATATTTAAACGATGAAGGCCTCCTTCGCAGTCCTGTTAGAACCTTCCCTACTCGGGGTTTTTCCCTTTTCTGAGAGGAACGTTTCCAACACCGCCCCCGTCCTCCAGGATAACGCCCTTCCGGTGGCGCGCCAGAAACCTCTCCGACCTTTCCCGGTCCGCAGTCGGTTCCCCCTCGTTAGACTTTAAGGACAGACCGACCTCGAGCAGCCGGGCAAAGCTAAGACCCCACCCAGACGCCCGTCTACCCAAAGTGAAGGGTGGGGCTCCCGGGCCCAAACCCCGCCCACAGAGCACAAGCCCAGCCGGTCAGAGAGAGGAAGTGCAATAATCCCCGCCCACCGTCGCCTCTTTCCCTTCCCGTTGGGCCGGCTCACTGCCCATCTCGTCCATCTCGTAGCCGATTGGCTCCCTCCCTCCCGCGCCAGTGCCTGCCTCTCCCAGCCGGGGAGGGTAAATCACGCCAAACTGGGCGGAGAGTCGGCTCGCCTCTCGCCTTCGCTCGTCTGGGCGGCGGCGGCGACTGGGGACGGGTGGCGTATCAGGGGCGCGGAGGCAGGAGGAGCAGTCTCATTGTTCCGGGAGCCGTCGCCACTGCAGGTCCTCGCCTCGGTGGGCCCGGCCCTCTCAGTGCTCCCCGCCCCCACCACCGCCCGCGGCTGAGGAGAAGCGGCCCGGCGGCAGCAGAAGCTGCAGCATCATCTCCAGCCCGCCCGCCATGGAAGACCTGGACCAGTCGCCGCTGGTCTCCTCGTCCGCGGACACCCCGCCTCGGCCGCAGCCGCAGTTCAAGTACCAGTTCGTGCGGGAGCCCGAGGACGAGGAGGAAGAGGACGAGGAGGACGAGGAGGACGAGGACGAGGACCTGGAAGAGCTGGAGGTTCTGGAGAGGAAGCCCGCCGCCGGGCTGGCGGCCGCCCCGGTGCCTGCCGCCCCGGTGTCCGCCGCCCCCGCGCCCCTGCTGGACTTGGAAAATGAGCCGGTGCCCCC